GCTGTCGACTTATCCGTTCATAAATTCACATACCATCCTTATTTTTCTTAATCTCAATTACCCAATCAACATAAATACGTAAACCAGCAACGCACACCAAACAAGGTAACACAACATCGGGTCCACAATAATTCAAACCATAATAGATTAAACAGTTATTCATGCATACGAAACCACAAAATAAACAATCAAATACTATATTGCATTTAGACTGTAAAATACATTAAATAGGAACAGACTGACAAATACATCAGGTTCGGGCCCCATTAGCAATCTTAATTAATTATACATATCTATTTATTCATAAAATATCGTTCAATCATTTATTAGGTTTTAATGCCGTGATAGAAAATAGGGTGAGAGATCATTACTTGTTTCGAAATCTGAAATCGGGTTCTCACTGCGCCTACGGGCAGTCTCTATATTCCCTGAAATTTTCTCCAAAAACTGAAACACACTTCCGGTATCTGCACATGTCCTCAAAATACCCCAAATCAGACCCAGGGCCTATTTGGCCAATTTTGGAATTCCGTCACGGCGGCTCCGCCGTGCTCCGGCAACGGCACCACCGTCCATGGCGGCGATCCGCCTCGGTTTGGTTGTTTCTGCCCGTTTTTGGCCAAACTTGCATTGGTTCCTGTGATAAAACACCCCTATGGCCCTCGGTGGGCCAAAAAATTACAGAAAACCGAGACTTACCGGCGGCGGAGCTTTCGAGTGCGACGGCTCATCAGGCACGAGTTGCGATTTGGTGTTTTGCTCCGGTCAACCTGTAGAGAAAAGGACGGTGGTCACAATAGTGTAAAAATTACATCGAACGGGAACCAGAAAAGGCCTCATCGGAGGCAAAAACTGAAGAAACTTGCGACGGCGCCGCTGGACTTCGACAGTGTTTTCTGGCCAATTGGCTGATAGTTTGGCTCTGATTTGGCCACAGGGAGGTTTAGCATCAAAAAATGAGCCAAGGGGAGAAATTTTACTTCGTTTGGCGGCCGAAAGGTGCTCCGGTGCAGCGGCGGAAGACGGCGGGTGGCGGTGGTTGGTTCCTGTAACAGCCCCGGAAATTCATAATGAAATGTATATTAAAAATATCAAATGCGGAAGCGAAGTCAAAATTTGAATAACATCCCTTACACTAAAACCAAAAACGTGCTCACAAAATATAAAAGATCAAACTACCTAAAGGAGAAACTTGAAAGTAAAAGCTACGAATATGACTATGGAGTCTTTAGGCGTCCCCTTCGTCGTCCTCCTGCAGAACCGGCTCGGGAACGATGTCCTCTTGATATGAAATGATTAAATAAGGAATGAGCTACACTAGCCCAGTAAAGACATCACGATATCTCACCGTCACGGAGGTAAAGGTGAGTAGAAACACAAAAAAACCAATGGAGCATAATTTACAACAAATTCTTTTATTAATAATAAAACCTTTACCATTTACTTACCTCGGTGAAATTCATAAAATAATATACGAAAGCAATAACATCATCATCATCATGAAACCATATATATAAACTGTATAACATAATACCTATCAAGCTTTTCGTAATTCAATCGTTACACAACATATTTTCCTCATTTACCAGCCCACTAGTATCCATGGAGATCCATAGGGGTCCCGCTACCCGTTAACCCTTAACACTTGAAATCATATTCCAGGGTCGTCCCCATATCCCGTCCGGTATGGGCGCCAAACCATAGACCTCATTACCCCATCCGGTATGAGGGTGAAACGGGTCGTCCCCATACCCCGTCCAGTATGGGCGCCAAAACACATAAGATCTCCATACCCCGTCCGGTATGGGAGACCACAATCCCGGTAGGGTTCCCTACGGACCCGGTCCGTCCACCATCTCCCAGGATATCTAGTCAGGCTGACCACATTATACAATTTCCATTTACATAATCTTTCATTCTCCTTTTCCCTCAGTCAGCATTATCAATCACATACAAACAAGCAAAACGATAATTTATGTCAAACAGACAACATACAGCATCAATATTCCGGTCATTCAATCCATAATCAATAAAACAGTAAAATATGCACATGAAACCATAAAATGAAAACATCGAACCTCATGCTGCATTTAAAACTGTAAAACAGACCAAATAACAGTTAACCGACAAACACACTAGACTCGGGCTCCATTAGCGACCTTAAACAGTTTCACACACTCGTTGATTCATGAAATACCGTTTTATCATTTATTGAACTTTAAAACCGTGATAGAAAATAGGGTGAGGGGTCCTTACTCATTTCGGGGTCCGAATACGGCTTCACAGTGCGCTTGCAGGCTGTCCCTAATTTTCCCTGAATTTTTTTCCCGGGAACTGAAACGCACTACTGGTACCTGCACGTGTTCCAAAAATCCCAAATTAGGCCCAGGGCCCCTTTCGGCCAATATCACAACTCCGGCACGGCAGCGGTTCACCTCAGGTTGGCCGTTTTCGGCCGTTTGCGGCCGAATTCGGCCACACTCGCATTGGTTCCTGCGATAAAACAACCCTACGGCCCTCGGGGGGCCAAAAATTTACGGAAAACCGAAGCTTACCGGCAGCGGTGCTCTCGGGTTCGGTGGCTCTCCGGTGAAGTTCGTGTTTTGGTGATTCGGCTCTGATCAACCTGTAGAGAAAAGAATGGTGATCACGGTGATATAAAAATTGCATTAAACGGAGGCCGGGAAGGGCCTCATCGGAGGCAAAAACCGAGGAGGGGCACGGCGGCGCCGCTGGCTTTCGGCCGTGTTTTCCGGCCGTTTGGCCGGGATTTTGGCTCCGATTTGGCCACTATGGAAATCAGCGTGGAAAAACGAGTCGGGGGTATGAAATTTACCTCGATCGGCGGTCGAAAATCCCTCCGGTGCGGCGGCGGGTGGCGGCGGCCGGCTTCTGGGTCGTCTTCTCCGGCGAGGGCAGGCGGCTAGGGTTTGGGGTCTGGTGTGGGGGTCTTATTTATACCATTTTTGCCTTTTGATCTCAGCCGTCCATTTTGATTTAATCTGGGCCGTCCGATCGCGCGTACGCGGATTGCCAACGTGGCCCGTCCCCGGTCGACGTGGTTTTGCCACGTGGCAGGTCCTGGTTGGCCAGGACTGCTGACTGGGTCTGCTGACTGGGTCTGCTGACGTGGCATGCACGTTTTTTTTTTTTTCAATTTCCCCGGGCGCTACAATTCCTCTGGTGGTTGAGTTGTTTTCTCCGGCGAGGGTTTGGGGTTGGGTGTGGATGAGATTATTTATAACATTTCCCTTTTAATCTGAGTCGTCCATCACGATTGAATCTAGGCCGTCCGATCACGATTAAATTGGAAATAAATCTAGGCCGTCCATTGCGATGTGATTTGGGCCGTCCGTGCGTGCGTTTGATCTGGGCCTTCCATGCGCGCGGGAACGGATCTCAGCCGTCCGATCGCGCGCACGCGGATCGCCCACGTGGCTCCGTCCCGCGTGGCTTCCCGCATCAGCGTCCCTGCCACGCAGCGTGTCCTGGTTGGCCGGGGCTACTGACGTGGCGTAATTTTTCTAAATTACGTTTTAACCTCCCAAAAACACCCCCAGAATCCAAATTTTCATCTATTTTTTCCAAAATCATTTTCAATTAAATCCCAAAAATAATTTTACCCCATTTTATCATTATTATTATTTTTATTTCTATTAAATTAAATTAAAACCTTGTAAATTAATTATTAAAATAAAATAAAATCAAATAAAATTCCAATAATGATAAAATAAAAAGTTTCGTGTGTTACATAAGTAGTGTGCAGAGACAAAAAAAAAACATCATTTTTAATTTTATAATGAGTCAAATTAAAAATAATAAAAATTTAAGGATATAAATAGATGGTTATGATTCTCAAATCATACGTAAGTTTTTTTTCTATTTTGTTATTTTGTCACTACAAATAGAGAGTGTGTGAGAACTCTAAATGATCATGTATTAATTTAAAAAATTTACTGCAAGACGTGCAGATTTTTTCTACTATAAATTCAGGTACACTTTTTTTTTATTTAGATTTTATCTCAAGGATTCGATATGAATAAGGTTATATAGATTCAGATTTAATTTATTTTGAAATCCCTACACTTGTATCACAAGTATTTTAATTATAATATCTATTTACATCAAAATTAGATTAATTGAGTGACTAGAAAAAGAATATGAAGAATATGTATTATATTTTTGGTTAATTACATAGTTAAAATAAAATTTTTAAAATTTAAAATTATATTAACTATTTAATTGAAAATTATATCATAATTAAA